TGACGTGTCCGAAGCACGTGAGATGACTGCCGTCCCGGGAGCATGCTGGCTGTACTTCTTCCAAGACGACCTGTTTGTCCTTTTGGCAGTCCACGGGACATTCAATATTCTTCATGAGCACCGTCATTCAAAGGCATCCCTTCTTCAGTCTTCCTGATTCAGTGTCAGCTTTCACACACACTGCTTCTGTTAATTCATGCCTCTTCTCATCCTGAAAAATTTCAATAAGGACTATGGACCCAACTGGTGACTTTTCCTCTATTTGTATTAAGCATCATGTTACTACAATCCGCTCATCATTTTAACCGGTCAATATCTTTACATCCAGAGTCCACCGTGCTGACTGCTTTGTAGGGCGTCCTGGTGGCATAGTGGGTTACACAGTGTGCTGCTAGCTGAGAGGTCAACAGTTCAAACTCACCCGGCACTCTTTGGAGAAAGATGAGACTTGCTTATCCCATGAAGGTTTACAGCCTCAGAAACTCAAAGTGTGTGTGCTGGCAGGGACCATGGACCAAGATGTACAAAAAAGTACATTGAGTTTCCCTCTCCCTATGTATACAGATGTCTGTGTATAAATACACACACACACACACACACACACACGATATCTAAAATAAGCTGCTAGCATTTGCTAACCTCAAGGAAGGAGGACTGGTGGGGGTGGGCACAGAGAGGTTATTAAATATTACTTTATCTAATTCCACAATTGTTTGAATGCAGGGTTAGGGTTATAATGCAACTTGGCTACATTATACATATTCCTATTTAGTTTGTTTTTATAATCATAAATAAGCTGTCAATTTTAGAGAGCATATACAAATATTCCATGTCTTGTTAGTAAGTCATTTATCTGCATGGCCCTCTCCCCATAAGAATTTAGGGGCCGAGTGAAAGCAAAATGACACTTCATAGGTGGCGTTGGGCTGCTAACCCAAATGTCAGTGGTTCAAACCCATCAGCCACTTCAAGAGTTACAGGTGAGGCTTTCTGCTTCCTTAAAGGCTTCCATCCTTGGAAACCCCAAGGGGCAGTTCCGCTCTAAGCTACAGGGTGTGTGTGCGTCATGGCAATGAGTTTGACTACAAATAAAGGTTTGATATTCAATTATCTAGGTTGAGTGAAATCATTCAACTGGTAATGAATTCAATCAATCGTCTTTTTGTCTAAGACACAACTGATAAAACCACACTACCAAATAATGAAGTGGGAAATGTGTTGTGGGCCAGAATGCAAATGGGAGCCCATGTGACCGTCTTAGCCAATTGGGCTCTAACCCCATGCTAAATTCAGAGAGTGAACAGCATATTAAATTGATTTGTCTCTGCAACTTTCAGAGTATATAATGAGATAAGGAGCCATTTAACAGAGCCACTCAATTCAATTATATGAATTTCTCAGGCATCTTGCTGTGACAATAATTGAAAATAGCATCAACTAGTTTGCTTTCTGCAAAGAACTATTTATTTAAGTCAATAAAAACGTTTTTACATTTCCCGATGTATGTTTGCTTCTTCTGCCCATCGATAGAAAGGTTTAATAACTATGCTGTTTAATTATTGTGGAAATTGTTCACTAAATCTCTAGGATTGATCATCCTGGGTGACAACATTTGTTTAAGAGGGTAAAACCCCAAACCAAAAACCAAATAGCTGAGTTTGCCTGTATTTTAAGGCTTTGTGGACAGATCCAGGCCTTTGTGGGTCACAGAGAAATGTACACCTTCAAAGTAAAAAACGGGCTCCGATCCTCCCCTCCACACCCCCAGGTACCATGATCCACCTTGGGGCTACTGCCTCAACTCCCCACCAAGATGGGGGTCTACCCTGCAGAAGAGCAACTCAGATGTGTTGTAAAAGATGTTTTGATCCTGAAAATAATGAGAGAGAAGGCCAGAGAGAGATGTTCAAACAAGTTCAAGATGTTACCAAACGTTGCAAGGATACTGGGGTCCTCATGCTAGTGAAATACCAGAAAGAAAATTCTACACAGAAAGCTTGTCTAACTGCTTACTACCCTGATGCAGCTTTAAAGGAAGAGTGCAAAATGGAATACCCGAAAGAAGGAGAAGAATTCAGGAAAACTGGAATTCCTACCCAGAAAAGGCTACAGAAGCTTCCTACAGGCATGTAGGCAAATATTTAAATGACATTCGGGAACTCGGATAGTTACAGCAGGCACAGTCGATTGCATGGGTGCATCAGGATAAGGAGATGGCTTTTGCTTTATCCTAAATTATGGAAATGTTCATTTTATCTTACATTTTTTAATTTTTCCTTTTTTTCATTCAAAGATCATTTTATTGGGGGCTCTTACAACTCCAATTACAATCCATACATCAATTGTATCCGGCATATTTGTACATATGTTGATTTTTGAAAAAGAATACATACGCCTATATACTCGAGTATAAGCCAACCCAAATATCAGCTGAGGCACCTAATTTTACCACAAAAACTACATTTAAAATGTGCTTAAAAACTCGACTTATACAATAATATAAACGGGGTGTGTGTGTGTGTGTGTGTCCTGATAGTTGTATTAATAAGAATTAAATTTGGCGAGTCTGCTAGCGCGAGTGGGAGGTGGCAGGCCCCGCTCTCCGGCCTTCCCCACGGACTCTTCCAGCACGACATCTCCAGCCATGAACCGGTTTGGTTCCCGGCTACTGGGAGCCACCGCGAACCCGTCGCCACTTACGAAAGCCCGCAGCAATGAAAACCTCGACAAAATCGACATGTCACTGGATGATATCATCAAATTGGATCGAAAGGAAGGGAAGAAACAGAATTTTCCAAGACTAAACAGACGACTTCAGCAAAGTGGTGCCCGGCGATTTAGAATGAGAGTACGGTGGGGCATTCAACCAAATTCTGGTTTTGGTAAAAATAGTCTGAGCCGTAGAGGAAGAGTAATGCCTAAAGAGACGTCCTTATGGAGTTATCACTGGCCTGGCAGCTAGGAAAACAACGGGACTTCGAAAAGGAATTAGTCCTATGAACCGAGCACCTTTGAGTGATAAGAATGTAGAGCGATATTTTCCAGTGTTCAAAAGGAAAACAGACCTTCTGAGACAAAATGAAGTGCAGGGCAAACCAGTTGCAGTCCTCAAGAGACCGAACCAGTTAAATAGAAAAAGTAACATTCCAGGCAACTTGACCAGAAGCGGAAATAAATTAAGCCACCCGAAAGACATTTCAGAAGAGGCCTGAAGGTTCAGGCCCGGTTGAACACAGAACAACCGCTAGATGATGCAGTAGCAAAGAGAACTCGTCAATGGCGGACTTCCACCACAAATGGAGGAATTTTAACAGTATCCATTGACAATCCTGGAGCAGTTCATAACCCAGTAACTCAGAAACCACGATTAACTCGTACCTCTGTACCATCATTCTTGGCAAAACGGGAGCAATCTGATGTAAAGAAAGTTCCTAAAGGTGTTCCCCTACAATTTGACATCAATCGTGTTGGAAAACAGACAGGGATGACTCTGAATGAGCAGTTTGGGATCCTGAAGGAACAAAGAGGCACTCTCACGGTCAACAAAGGAGGAAGCCGCTTTGTAACCGTGGGATAGATCTCCTGTCAAAGGAACTTTTTGACTGTTTGAAAAATTGCTTGGAGA